GGGGGGGGCAGGATTTTTAATGTACACAGCAGCTTCTAGGTAGTACAAGTTGTAAAATGTAATAGCAATGGGTTCTGGCCCTATAAAATTGTTTCCAACAGTAAAACAATAACAGTGTTACATAGCTGCCAGACTTTCGTAGTAGTATAGGGTTTTACGGCGCTCGCAACTGCTGCCAGACTTTGTGAACACAGAGTTTGATTTAAAATCAAGGGTAAACAGTTTGCAGGAACAGAGGACAAATGTAACCGTGATGAGAAAAGTCGACTGTCGATATTATTGATAACTGCAGACGCACTTCAAATGCTTATAATCTACATGAAATATATTAAGAAATTGGAAGCTTTTGAATATTCAACTTATTGAATATATATAACAGTACCAAAAAAACGTCATCCCCTGAAAACCAAAATACATTATTCCAAATAAAAATAACCAAAAATAGTTTTTTTTAAAATATATGTGGTTTTACAACCCTATCAACCCAATTTAGACCATTTAGGAGGCAGACCTCTACCCCTGCCTGTCAGGGCCAACCTGGTTTGAGAGGGGACAACATAGCAGACAAGACCAAAGTCTTTGTAAAGTCGGAATGGCTGAAGTTAAAAATTCAAGGTTAAAATTATTTCAAAATAGTACTATCTATATTTATATTTTGGAGTAAAGACCAATGGTCTTTATAGAATTCTGTTGAGATCAACGATGGAAAACAAATTCAAAATATTTTCGTTTCAGTCTCTTCAAAGCCAGGACACTCCATTAGAATGTGTCAGATCATAAGGTCAGCATTGCATCTGACACAAAAGGGATTTTTCATCTCCCCGCAGAAAGTATAATATATATATGTAAGGAATGTATATCTAACATATAATTTTGTTTAAATAACTTCATCTCTTCTGGGGAGACCTGAAGGTTTTTAGTAAGCCTGAGGTTTGGGCATGATTAAGTGAAGTTTATTGTTAATTTGTTTATTCCATTGTTCCTTCCACTGATTGGAGTTGTAGTATTAGCGAGGGTGGGACATTCGATACTTTGATATAAGGTCCGTTTCTGATAAGACCAGTACATTGTATATGATGACTGCAATTTGCGTGTGTTTTTGGTGCACCTTTTAAC